TCGGTCACATAACCCGATCAGTAATTCACTTTAAATCATAGTGGGAACTAGGAGACTCCATCACTCTCCAAGGGAGTGTCTTCCACTGTCATACAGCTCTTACTGTCAGGAGTTTTTCCTAATGCTAATAATAATAATAATAATAATAATAATAATAATAAAATTTATTTTTATCCCGCTCCTCTGCATAATGCAACCTTACAACATTAAAATATACATTCCATATCCCACAATTCCCCCCTAAAATACTATTAAACAGTTGACAGTTTAAAACACACTTAAAATAATAACAAAAATAAACAATAACTGCAACAGAATCAGGGATAAGCAGGTTGGGCTATCTTTTGGTGGCCGAGATGTTGAGGTGGAATCTCTTTTCCTGGAGCTTGCATCCATTGCTCTGTATCCTAGTCTCTGGAGCTGCAGAAAACAAGCTTTCTCCGTTCTCAACATGACATCCCTTCAAATATTTAAACAGGGCTACATGTCACTTCTTAACTGTCTCTTCTCCAGCTAAACATCCCCAGCTCCCTAAGCTGTTCCTCACAGGGCATGGTTTTCAGACCTTTCACCATTTTGGTCACTTCAGCTTGTCCACATCGTTCTTGAATTGTGGTTCTCCTGCCACCCCATGCCTTCCAACAATTGACACCTGTTTATAAATTCCTCATATTTTGGAAGCATAGCTTGGACTGACAGCCCCTATTTTTCAAGAAGGCTGAGTTCTATGTCAGAGGTGCAAAATAAAATATGATCTCATATGATCGCACTAGATCATGCATAGGCAACTTGTGGCCATCTCACTGTTGTTGGAGTGCAGCTCCCATCACTACTAGATAGAATATCCAACGGTGAAAGCAAATAGAAGTTATGACAGCAAATGGAGGGCAACAAGTTGCTCACCCCAATTCAGAGGTTGTGATTAGAGAAGCAAGTGGAAGAGAAGATGATTTCTGCATGGCCATTTGCTTCACAGTGAAGCCTAAATACCCTAAAGGCACCAGATCCTGTCTGATCTTGGAAGCTAATCAGGGTCAGCCTTGGTTAGTACTTGGATGGGAGACCACCAAGGAAAACCAGGTGCTATAGGCTGTGTTTCAGAGGAAGGAACTGGCAAAACCACCTGTGAATATTCCTTGCCTTAAAAAATCTTACGAAATTCACAGGGTTGCCATAAATCAAAAGGTGAGGCAACATGAAGATACATATACAAACGTATCCCTCAAGTTATTTCCCCATTCCTTTACTATGATGTTTCAAAAGTATTTTTCTTAAGCATGCAACTGGAACATGAAAGTGCGGAAAAGGAAACAGCTAAGAAATTAGTTTACAACAAAGAACAGACATCAGGGAAATAGCATTATTTGTTCATTTACAGGATTTCATTGTTTTTCAATTAAAAATCATTAAAATATCAGGTAGAATCAGTGCATAGAAAGATCTTGTAGCACCTTTGAGACTAGTCTCAAAGGTGTCACAAGCTCTCTCTACATTAAAATAACAAAACAATAAAAAGAACAATAAAATAACAAGGCAGTGTACAATAGTTACCATTAACTTGCTACTGCTTTGCTCAAAATCACAACCTCCTAAAGCTGCGTTGAACTTAAGAACAAAACAAACAGGGAGCTTTCTTACATTAATATGGATATATTCATATCATTTGCTCCTTAGCTTTGTTTAAGGAAATTGGCCATCTGAAGGCAGACAGTCAACATAAAATAAATTGTGAGCTGATAATCAAGACCACTCTAAATTCTGTGACATATGATACACATGTCTTTAATTTTGCAAATTAGAAAGCCAGACTTTTTTCTCCTCCCTCTTCACATGTTTTGGAGAGATGATCTGTCATAGTTCTTGTTATTGTGTCAGCTTGGAAACTTTTTAGCTAACAGTTATTAATCACAAACTTGATACACCTTATTGTACTGGATCTCAGAGGTTATCTGGGTTGAATCTGGGTTGATTTTATGTTGTTCACATGAATTTCAAATGCATCCAATTAAGTTGGGGGGGGAGCTGCCACCACTTAACCTGGGATAATCGATATCATTTTTTTCCCCCTGAGTTTAAAAGATTCACATCTTCAGCAATGTGAATAACAGATGTGAATAGACCCAGATAAACCAGGGTAAAACTGCATGCTTTGAATGTGTTTTGAATACATCCACATCATTGATTCCATATTTATTAAAGTGCTGGCATGTGTGAGCAACCAAACTCCTAGAGATGTGCATAGATGCAGTTCCATAGTGTGAATAATACTATGTGTGAGAGAGATTATTTGAATAATCACTCTAAAAAAATTATGTCTGAATGGCCCCTCAGATGTATTGCTTGTTGGTTATGTTTGTTTCTGAATTTTGTTAAAAATATTAATTAAAAAATTGTGGAAGAACAGCTGCTGTAGTAAGACTGGCATCAACAAGAACAAAAGCAAAGTAAAAACTTCAAACTGGGATGGCTCTGCCATTAAAGGCAATAGAGTATCTGTCCCAAGATGTGTATTCCACTGGGTATGGTTTTTTCCTTGCACAAACCATACTGAAACTAATGTGAACTGCACATGAAGATGGGATGCTCCTGCATTAATTGGTGGAAGGGGCAGGCTGTCTTTTGTGGATTTTCCACCTCACATACCCATAATGTACTGAGGCTGCCTTAGTGGAATTATACAGAAATAATGCCAAATGCTGAAGGCTACATTTCAGAGGAAGGAACTGGCAAAACCACCTCTGATGATTCTTTGCCTAAGAAAACCCTATGAAAATTATGGAGGCGCCATAAGTTGACAGGCACCTTGAAGGCATATATATATACATGCACGTGCACACACACACAATATACTGCTCTATTTCTTGTTGTTGTGTGCCTTCAAGTAATTTCCAACTTATGGCAACCCTAAGGCAAACCTATCATGGATTTTGTTGGCAAGATTTGTTCTTGACAATATTTGTTCAGAGGTTTGTCATTGGCTTCCTCTGACCGAAAGAGTGTGACCCAAGTTTCCACAGTGGGTTTCATGGCCAAGATGGGAATCGAACCCTGGTCTCCAGAGTCTCAGTCCAACACTCAAACCGCAACACTATGCTGGCTCTCATATTGCTCTATGGATGGTAGGAAATATGGATAGTACCAAATAAACACTAACTATACTGTATTAAAACTTGTCTTACCAGATCAGGCCAAGAATCTAGTTGTCAACAATATTTACAGAAATGCTTTTGGGAAGTTTGCAAGCAGGGGAACAATGACCTTCCTGGTTTTTCAACGCTTCCTCTTAATACTGTGGCTGCTTCCAGGCAAGGCTTTTACTGAGCAATCAGATTGCTTAATTCACTGAGTTCAGGAGCAAGTGTGTGTGTCAGACTTGGGGTGCATCTACACTGTAGAAATAATGCGGTTTAATGCCACTTAAAGTGCTATCACTCCATCCTATGAAATCCTAGGATTTGCAGTTTTAGAAGGTTTTAAATCTTCTCTGCCAAAGAGTACTGGTGTCTCACAACTCTGCAAATCCCAGGATTCTGTAGGATGGAGTTACATCACTTTAAGTGGTGTCAAACTGTATTATTTCTACAGTGTAGAGGCACCCATAGTCTTTTGCAGCCCTCCTATTTTCCCACTATTTCTTCCCACCCCTTACAGCTGCACAAATTTTTCTAAGTTCTAGTAATAATATCTTGGTGTCTGGAAACTCTTGGCAAGCTCTGTTTATCTGTCTTGACCAATGGGGTTTGATTTCTCCTCCATTAATTCTGGGGTATGAAAACATACAAGCTCTCTTCTTTCCTTTATAAACAGAGCACATTTCAGTTTGTGTTTGAGAAGGAAATGTTTGAAAGGTGAAGGCAATGGCTCCTTAACTAAAGATGCTAGATGTTATGCTTCTGCATGTGAAACCTCTATATGCTTTCAAGGTGTTCTGTTCTACTTATCCCCCTCAGTTTCCTTCCCATCATGCGATTCATTTTAAATTTATTTTATACAGTTTGCAAAAGTAAATAAAAAGTATTACCAATGAATTTAATTTTTACGAGCATAATTTATTCTCGTGAAGATTTTCGGTTTCAGAACTTGTGTTTTATGTATCTTGGGCCTTTGAAGAAGACACATGGATTTCAGAGGAGTAAATGCAAAGTTTAGGCCTTTCAAATCATGGCAGAGCCTGGCAGACATTTTCACTGCATGTCATCTTAAGTATTTACTCTGAGTGGTTTCTTTCAGGGCTTGTTTCTGAGCAAGTGGGCTGCCTCCAGCTATGGCTATTCACATGCATAGGGCCTATTCATAGAATCATAGAGTTGGAAGAGACCTCAGAGGTCATCCAGCCCAACCTCATTCTGCTGTGCAGGAAGACACAATAAAAGCATCCCCGACAGATGGCCATCCAGCCTTCATTTAAAAACCTCCAAAGAAGGAGACTCCACTGCACTCCAAGGGAATGTGTTCCATTATCGAACAGCTCTTACTGTCAGGAAGTTCTTGTTAATGTTGAGGTGGAATCTCTTTTATTGCAGTTTAAATCTATTGCTCTAGGTCCTATTCTTTGAAGCTGCAGAAAACAAGCTTGCTCCATCTTCAATATGACATCTCTCCAAATTTTTAAGCAGGGCTACCATATCACCTCTTAACCTTCTCTTCTCCAGGCTAAACATACCCAGCTCCCTAAATCGCTTCTATCTATTCACACTGGTGTCAAATGGCATTACTTCTACAGTTGAGATGCACCCTTGGTCATGTTATCTGGATGCAACTTAGGCCATCATCACTCCATATACACATCCTCCGACTCTTTGGCAATACTCTCTATTGTTCCTCTTCCTCCTTTCGAAAAGCAAATTTAACCTCCTCCCACCTGCTAGCTGAGAGTGTACCACTAACCCCCCCCCCATCTCATAGTCAAAGTAAAAGGACTAGATATCTGTCTGGTGCCATGCACTTTGTTAACCCCAACCCAGCTTGGAGCAGTAGACCAATACTCCCCACCCACACGTGTGATCACACTGCCATTATTTCCTCAGAGGCAGGTTAACCCTTTCACCCCATAAGCACAGACTCAATGGGTTCCATGCTCCTACAGATGTCCCTCCATGCTCTTCTTCGATTAGTACAGCTCCAACATTATATTTCTGCTCTCTTCCAGTACTTCAGTTCACAGAGATTATTGCCTTGCACTTTGATTCCCTTGCCATTAATCCTTTTCTTGAAGCTTGAGTCGCCTGATACCTGAATCCTTCACCTTGCTTTTATGAACTTGTTGGGTTCATAAATTATCCTAAATTATCACATACATAGGGAGAGCAGAGGCTGTGAACCCCATCAGTGATTCCTTTCATGATCTCCCTAAGAGTTTCTGGTGAAACAATACATCCCTCCATTTCTCTCCATAAATAGAGGTATTTTGTAGTTGTGCACCTTCAAATCATTTCTGACTTATGGCGACCCTACAGCAAACCTATCATGAGTTTTCTTGGCAGGGTTCTTCAGAAGGGATTTGCCATTGCCATCCTCTGAGGCTGAGAAAGTGGGTTTACATGACTGTTGGGATTTGGACCCTGGTCACCATAGTTGTAGTTCAACACTCAAAACACTTAACCATGTATGTATTGCTGCTTAGGCAGTGCTCCCCTTCAACCTGCTCTTTGCTTACCTGGGACATTTGAGGCCGCAAATTGATCTCCCGTAAGTTGACCGCATGAGGCATGAGGTTGTTGAGAAGCTGGCACAGCAGGACTCCGTCACGCAAGGCTTGGGCCAAGTCACAGACCTGGGCACCATCAAAGGTCACTCTATGGTTGGGGGGCAGCACCCGGCACTGGATCAACCATTTGGCGCATTGCTTCCACAACTCCATCCCCAAAGCCCCTCACAAACGACAGCTCTGGTTGCTGCAAAAGCCAATTTCCACTGCCACCAGCAGCACCTTCCTCCACGGCTGGGAAGCACAGTCACAGGCGACAGCTTCCTCTTTTGCAACTGACATCAGACCACAAAATGGGGGGGAGGGAGCTGAGGAGCTTCCTCACCCTACCCCTGGGAAGGAGGTACTAAAGTGGGGTGGGTGGGGGGAAACCCAGCTCTTACTTCCTACAAAGAAATTGCCTAGTTGTTTGGAAGACAGGTTGGAGATGTTACCTGTCTCTCTGTCATCCCTGATAATAAAGACCTTTGTTTTCTAGCTAGCTCAGTAGGCAAGTAAAGCTTCTGCCAGGCAGAGCTGGCCCAGGTATTCAGCACATGACAAAGTGGCACGCCTCAAATGACAAACCTTAGGATAGAGCATGAAGAACCAAAATATCTTGCGCTCTCTTGGTCTCTCTGTTTGCAGACATTTCTGTTTAATTCTGCAAGCTGAGACTGGTTGGGCTGCTTGGGGTTTTGAGGCTTTGATAAATCTGATCATGATTTAAATACCCTCAGTCACCATGCTCAGCAAAAAATTATACACGTACATGGCCAAATAAAGGTATTCTGAACTGTTCCCATGAAGGGGTTAGTCAGATGATGAACATAATCCAGGTAGAACATGGGTTGCATCTTTGTTGTTCACATGCATTTCAACTGCATTTGATTTTTTGGGGCGAGGCTGCCAAAAAAACCACTTAACCTGGTATAATCGATCTTGGGTTTTTCTCCGAATTTTCATAAAACATTTCTGTTGTCAGCTGTGTGAATAACCAATGCAGATAGACCCGGGATAAACCAGGATAAAACTCTGCATACCTTGAACATGCTTGGAATCCATCTGCATCATCGACTCCATCTTTATTCGAGTGCTGACATGTGTGAGCAACAAAACATGCAGAGATGCGCATAGAAGTGGTTCTGATTTTTAAAAATAGTGTGAACGACAAAACTGGACTGCATTAGTGAGATTATCTAGATAATCGCACTAAAAATAACAACATCTGAGTAGGGCCAAACTTTCCATGGATCACATGAATGGAGTTTGCTTATCCTGAGTGAACTGTGGACTCCATATTGAGAAACTCTGCCCTAGATGCCTTTCACAAGAACACTCTCCAGACGGTCCTCCATAGCCACAGATTCTTTATCCATGGATTCAACCATCCACAGCTTTAAAATATTTTTAAAAAATATACATCCCCAAAAGCAAACCTTCAGCTTGCCATTTTATATAAAGGACACCATTTTAGTATGCCACTGTATTTAATGGAACTTGAGCAGTTATGGGTTTTTGTATCAGTGGTGGGGCCTGGAACCAAACCCCAGAGGCTTCCAAGAGCCCACACTATTTTAAAATAATTTTCAATCCTGTTTGGGTCAATAGTTCTTATCACTCATAATCTCCCTTGGTTTCCAGAAGGCTGAGTCCACAGAAGGATTAATTCAGCTAGGTAGTGAGGGAATAATAGTAATGAAAAGTAAGATGGTGGTTCCATTCAAATGAGAAAGATTTGTTTTAAGTAATTTATGTCTTTTATTGTTGGAGAAAATTATTTCTTTCTTATTTGGAGCAGTAACTGCATTGGAGCACACCGCTATATGTGTAGAGCTTGCTTTAAAGGCAGCAGGTACCTAGAGGAGTTGTAGATGGGCGGGGTAAATTGTAAGAAATACATTTTGTCTCCTCTGAAGATTTTGTGTTGACTTCTTACAACTTACTGGACACAATTCTGGGCAGCGGCCAGTGGTGGTTAACCTCTAAAGCCCTGAATGCTAAGGAAGAGATTAGATCCTTGACACTCTTTTTTTCTTTATGTTGCTCTAAGCCATGGCTATTGCCACACTGCTGAAATAAAGCAGTTTGACACCACTTTAATTGTCATGGCTCCACCAGGTGGAATCCTGGGATTTGTAGTTTGCTGAGGTATTCAGCCTGGTCTGTCAGGGAGCTCTGGTGCCTCACCAAATTACATCAGCTCATTGTGATTGGAGCGTCTTTTAAACCTTATGTTACCATTACACCTTATCCACAGGAGACCCTCTAGTCACTGACACCTGTACTGCATTTGCCTTATTAACACTATTTGGAAGTATGTAAGGGCCCAAGTGTCCCCACAAACCACTTCCATGTCTAGGTAGCATGCTTGCCTTTGTTTATAATTTGTAAAATTCACTCAGACAGAGA